AAAGCTTCAGCTGTTTATCGTTTCTTATAGATCTTAATGAATGATTTTTACGTGTTGGATGAGATCAAACAACCATTTTTCACCACGTAAGCAAATCATGCAACTTCTCATGCTAATATCTAATATATGATTTTACTTTTTTTCTCTTCAATTTACTTTGGAAATGGAAACTTTTCTTCTATTATCATTTTTCTTCGGAGTTAGACCCAGTCTCAATGAGGAAAAGGTTCGGGGTGACCCATTTGGCGGATCTTGATGGACCCGTTTGCGGATCTTCGCCAGTTGGTAGAAGTCCTCAAAATACGGTTTTAGGGTTCTATAATACACACCACATCTGTCTCCACTTTAGGGGGGAAAAAAGAAGAAAAAGAATATATCCAAAACTCTACAAACTTTGAACCAATCAAATTAAATAATCCATGAAAGTTGTTTATATGTTTTGATTAAATTTGTAAAAATCTCCCACTAATTTTGGATTAGTGCCAATTGACAGATTCTCAGATCTCATCATTTTTCATTATGGGGTAAGACTTAAACTAATAAGTGGACGGTCCAAAGCAAAAGGGCATGTCAACTTCAAGATTCTTGCTCTCTTTATATATATATATATATATATATTTCTGGGCATGACTTTACTTTAACTAACTTTCCATTTGTTTATGGTTCTTCCTAGGATTTATCGTTGACCCGACATTTTTCATCTTTTAGATTTCTTACATTAAACTTAGTATGTTAGACATGAAATATCATGTTCTCTGAATTTATACTGAAACTATGTTATGCATGTAACATGAAGCACATTTGGCATGATGATTAATGTAAAAAAGCAGAAGTAAAATATTCTTAGTGGAAGATAAGGTGACCTGATGAAGGAATTATACGCCGAGGACCATTACAAATTTGACACCTTGAATTGATCCGTTTCCTTTGTCTAATTTCCTCTTTCCCCCCCCCCCCCCCCCGAAAGATCAGGACTTAGGTGTTTATATATATGCAGGGTTTTGCAGGAACAAAGACAATGCGTCCCCCCCCCCCCCGAAAGATCAGGACTTAGGTGTTTATATATATGCAGGGTTTTGCAGGAACAAAGACAATGCGTCCCCCCCCCCCGAAAGATCAGGACTTAGGTGTTTATATATATGCAGGGTTTTGCAGGAACAAAGACAATGCGTTGTGATGAGTTTTTCTTGTTTCTTCGTCTGAGGTGTGAGCTTTAAATTTTCAGACGAGGAGGAGGAGGAGGAGGAGGAGGAGGAGGAGGAGGAGGAGGAGGAGGAGGAGGAGGAGGAGGAGGAGGAGGAGGAGGAGGAGGAGGAGGAGGAGGAGGAGGAGGAGGAGGAGGAGGAGGAGGAGGAGGAGGAGGGAGGAGGAGGAGGAGGAGGAGGAGGAGGAGGAGGAGGAGGAGGAGGAGGAGGAGGTAGCCATTGACAACCATACCTCTTCAGGTTGTTCCTCGTAGAGGATTTTGAAGGAGGTTTTAAAGGCAAGTCATTTAAGGCAAAGGGAAGGTTACGCCTTTCTTTCTGATTTTTCCTTTCTTTCTGATTTTTCTTTTTATGTTTCATTTTCATTTCTGCATCTTTGTTTTGGATTCTGAGTTGAGAGATTCAGATCAGAATGAGCTTAAAACACATCGAGTCAGTCCAGATTTCTTAGCTGTTTGATGAACAAAAATGGGGTCTTGTAATCTTACCTTTCTGCTGTTTCAGATTATGATTTATGAATAATTGTTCACAATCAATATATTTGCAGATAATTTATTGTTCAACACAAAATCTCTACTTTCTTTCATCTCAAAAGAAGGTATCATACCTATCAATTTGAATCCAGACATAATTATGCCATATAAATCCGATTCTCAACGTTTCATTTCGATAAGCCTGTTCTAGAAAAAAAATGTTTACTGCAAAACTATGCACCCCATTCTCTGAAGGGGGATTATCACCTAACTCGAAATAATCAGCTTACTCGTTTATCATCTTATTACCGTTTTCCTCGTCAACTCTAATTTCTGTTCTGCGATAAATATAAGGCCGACCGCAGAACTTTAGGCTCTAGTCAAGTTCTAGAGTTCTAGACTCTTTTTCATGGCCTCATAAACCAAATATGTAATGCTTGCAGCTGGGACAACCTTCAGAAGATTAGGAAAAAGTCCCCTGTAAAATCCTCTATAACCTTCATTCCGAAGGGTTTTCCAAAACACATCAGACATTCCGTTATATGCAGCATCTGCAGTAGCACGTTGAGCTTGCATTCTGGGGAAACAAGCAAAATAAACCTCGGTAATAAAGTATGACGATACGGGTTAACCCCAATTACCAGAAAAAGGACTTCTAAACATTATAATCATACCTAGTTCGAATAACCTGCAAAGGATAAACACAGGTTGCTCCCAAAGCTCCAGAAATTGTTCCACAGCCTAGTTGCACAATAGGACCGGGTTCTATAGGAACATGAAAGAGCCATCAGAAAGGTTTTGAGTAATAAATTCAGAAGAAACTCCAGGTTAGCGAAAAGCAGGAAACCAAAAGAAGAAAATATATATAAAGAAAACGAGAAAAAAGAAGCAAGCATGCATAAAAGAAATGAAAGCAGATAAGTACCACTATCTTGAAGAATATATGACCTTGAAATGTCTTTCAAGGTTTCATAGACAGTAAGGTCGATGCCGGCGTATGGGATGATCCCAAGAAGAGATGGCACAAGACCTTTATAGAATGCTCGAGATCCCTCCTGAACCCATATATCTTTAGTTAATTTCGCCAACTTTGGTGGCTTTCCACCTTTAGAAGCACAAGTCTGTAATCGAGTTTTTACAAGATCCATTGGGTAGATAGCACATTGTGCCACGGCACCGGCTAAACCACCGGCAAGAAGTCTCCCGCTGGTACCTACATCACCACTCTTATCCCCTGTACTGTCTCCTATTACATTCTTTAACATTTCATACGCATAGAACTTTATAGCACTTTCAGGAGCTACCTTGACAACATTTAACCCATTGCCTCGGAAAAACCCCAAAACACCGTCTTCCTTCAATATCTTTCTTACGGCTAACAGAATATCAGCATTTGTAGTTTGCACTTGCAAAACAACCTTGAGGCGATCGAGAGGAGCAGTTGCAGTGCGAGAAGCTGCTCCGGCTATTCCTCCTGCAATAAAATACTTGCTTCTCTTAACATGTGTACTGATGCCTTGAGGAATAACAGCCGTTTCTCCGATATCTACAAGGCAAACCTTTTCCCAATGATGATAGATGTTCTCCATGGTAGCTTCATGAGGATAGAGTAGAAGGAAATCCCTCCATTCTTCAAATGTTATAATCCCATTGTTGTCCTTATCAACATGCTCTACGAATCGTGCAAGCTCCTCATCATCAATATGAATCCCTGCAAAATAAAAACTGCCAGGACTTATAAGATGAAAACAACTGTTAAATTGCAAGCATGGAAACTACCAGCCACAACATCCAGCAAAACAAACTGACACATAATCTTTACACCGACAAGAAATTGATTCTTGATAGGGCATTATGAGTACACCAACAAGACACTGTCTCAGATATCAAGCCCGGTAAAAACTTTCCTTCAATGGTGACAAACTCCCCTGAAACCTGACATAGATCCTTACTTGCCAAACCGTAGGATTAACTGAGACACCTCAACAATGCAGATATGTTCATAAAAGAAGTATAAAAAATCACAGATTCTCGTTTCACATTGATTTGAGGGAAGAAACACTCGTAATAAGCTCCTTTAAAATAGATTGAACCTATCGTTCAGATTTCAGCTCAGCAAAACTTTGGTTTCAGAGTATTTGTAACATAAAAACACAAATATGAACAGGAGAACGTCGAAACAAAAAACAAATCCAAATTCCCTTCTGTTGATTTGATTTAAGAACTAAAACACAAAGTTGAATATATCTGCACCACGGGACACACATCTGGTGTATGGAACTTTATACCCTCTCATCAACTTACATTGAGATTATTTCAAACAAAGGCTTTCCATAACAAACTGGTGAAGGCAGCTTTCTAACACCTAACCATAGCCTATTCCGGATACCATTCAGAAATTAGAACAAGACGATGCATTCCCACAACTCGGAATGCAATCTATTCTGAACACACAATGGCAGAATTCAAATTGCCAACCAAATCAATGCTTTTGGATTAAATACTTTTAATGCTATCTACTTTTCTTACTGGTACCTACCTACCAGATGTTCCAATTATGAGCACTTCGAAGGCGATTTCTCCATTATCGCAACCGTTAAAAGTTTTTTGAGCCAAAAGGGTATTAAAAAGATGGAAAACAACATAAAACCTCTCAATTTATAAGCAAACATTCGCAAATTGTTCGAACTTTATAACGATTTCATTATCGACCCTAATCAACGCAACAACCTCACCGGACCAATCAAACATATCAAAGTTAAGAAAAACCAACTATTATAAAAAATACAAAAAACAAAGAGCATAGCATACCGGCCTTAACAAGAGCATCCCAAAGCTCCTCAGGCAAAATGCAGCCATTGTGTTCCACGTCAATTGCTTGGAAAATCCTATAAAGTTCAAGCTCTTTATCATCCATATACCTTTTAAATTCTTGATAATCCACGCGCCCATCTCTGTTGGCATCACAAACTTTCAACAGATCGTTGGCGTACTTGTACTCGGCCGGAATCTGCAGCGCCGAGAGACCCATTTCGATCTGAGCATAATCCAAGAATCCCATATTGGCTGCATCGAAAAAATTGAACAGACTCCGAATCCTCAATTCCCTTTCTTCCTTCGTCTCGCGTAATGCCAGGAGGACATGATCCATTGTGACGGATCCCGGCTTTTTGACCGGGTTCCTACTTTCGGGTACGGGTTTCGCATCCATTTTAGGCAAGCCCACATGTTCCACGCCCTGCCCTGCTCCGCCAGACATAACAACAACACCAAAACGATAACGTTTCTAATCAACTTAAAGCCAAATTTCACCTATTTTCCAGCGAATGTCGTCTCTTGGGACCGTTCTTCTCCGCAACCATGGAGATTCGAAAAGAAAGAGATCTGTTTTATAAAATCGGTAACAAAGAATATAAAAAAGTAGTCTTTTTTTCCCTTGGGTTTTTACAGGGAGAGTACAGACAATATACCCAGGAATCAATTAAGGAAAGGACCCAAAAAATTGACTCGAATTAGTTAGGGGGGAAAAGAAAAAAATAAAAGACTTTTCTTTTGGTAAAGGCGGTCAAAAGAAGAAGAGAAAACAGCCGAAATTCCAAAGGAACAGCAACAGGTTTACAAAATCAAATGAAAAATGAGAAAAATTCCAAGTCTTGTTAATGGGTTTTGATTTTTCTCTCTATCCTAGTTTCCAAAGATAAAAATCAATCAAAGAAACAATAACAGAGCCTGATTGAATGAAGGAAAAACAGGACGGTTATAAGGAAAGGTAACGGGAGAGAGAATTTACAACAAATAAATTGGAAAAAATACACGTGCAAGATTATTGAAGGTTGAAGAAAGAGTATGGTTCCAATCTTAAACTTACAAACCCAAGGTCCAGATAATGAGATAACACGTATTCCCCCCCCCCCCCCAACACACACACACAAACACAAAAGCTCTCTGAAGAATCAAAATTAAATTCCTTTTTCCAAAACTTAAAATTTATGGAGTTTGAGAGCCCATGTCAGAATCGTAAACAGAGACACGAGGGTAAATATCTGTAATCTGGGCTTTTGCTTTCCTTCTGTCTTTCAAGGATTCTAAGAGGCTACTATTACCCAGAGTAGAGGTGTACAAAAAATTTGAATATTTAATTTTATGTAAAGAAATATCTGAAATTAGATTTGAGAAAAATTGATTTTTTTAACTAGATCAGATTTTTTTAAACTGATTTAGAAAAAAAAACTTAGACCGGTTTTTTTATCAGATAAAAAAGCGATTTGAAAAAAACCGGTTAAAAACCGATTTTTATCCGAAAAAACCAGTTTGAATTTAAAAAACTAGCCGTTAATATAGCCGTTGAAGGGTTTTGTGACTGTTTTTACCCTTTTTTTCTTTAAAAAATTACCATTTTACCACCCTAAACATGTATAAATAAGTTGTGGATGTATTTGGTTGATTACAACTTTCTCAAATCTTATTACACAACACTTAAACATCTCTCAAATCTTATTTTTGTAATTTTTTGTTCATCATGAGTAACACGGCTGAATCTTCCGTCGGGAGAAACCTTGAAGTCGTGAGAGTGATCGAACACACTCGAAACAAAGATATTTGGGATCACTACGATTTATGTGAGATGTCAAATGGCTCGAGGAGGGCGCGTTGTAAACTTTGTCTAAAGTTACTTGCACCGGAAGGAAACACAACGTTGAAGAACCATTTGACAAAATCAAGCAAGGCACTTCGCTCAAGATCGGATCCAAGTCAATTGAATCTTACACCGCAAGATGTTTTTGTTTACGACAACGAAAAATTACGAGAAGCGTTTACAAAGTTCGTGATTACAAAAGCATTGCCGTTCGACCAATTTGATGATGAAGATTTCACGGCAACAATTCAACAACTAATGCAACCCATGTTATACTTAAGTAAGTCGTACTACCCTTAGAAGAGATGCTATAAAAATGTGGCGTACGGCGAGAGAAAAAATGATTTTAGGATTCCAAGAACACCATTATGGTGTGTCGCTTACATGTGACGTTTGGAGTTCCCCTTGTAACATCCTCAATACCGGGCTAGTGATCAAATTGTAAAGTTTCAGAATTTGATGACTAAAGTAGAAGAATGAAATAATTCAATGATTATTTGAATATATATTGAAGGTTATTTAGTAATTATTAAAGGAAATTAAGGGTTAAATGGTCATTTGATCATTCAAGGAATGATATACACGTGAAAAGGGGGAGAACTCTCCAGAGTGCTCTTCTCCTTTCTTCTTCATACGGGGGGAGCAAGCCAAAGGTAAGTTTCTTTGTTTGTAAATGAATTGTGATTTTAAGGTGGGTTTGATTATTAGATGATAACTAAGCTTAAGTAAAGCTTAAATCATCTTAAAAACAAATGATGGAGGGGTTAAGAGAGATTAAAGATTTGGAGATTTTATATGAAACTTTGGAAAAGAATTGATAAGTAGAATTTGAAGTTAAATTTGACTTGTCAATGGTTAGATTAAGAGATTTGGAGTGATAGAATTGATTTGAACATATAGAAAATTTGATATGATTTTGAATTATGGAAGATAGGATTTGAGGGTTTAAGATGAAATAAATGAATATAGATTGGTTTAAGTATGTGTACTAGAGTTAAGAATGGAAAGGAGATGATATATGAAGTGTTTGAGGGAAATGAAGTAATTTTCGGGTTGAAAATATGATTTCTGGGCAAGGGGAATCGGTACCCATTCAAGGGGAACCGATACCCCTTCAAACGACAGAATTCCAGAATGTCTTGAGGGAATCGATACCCCCATGGTAGGGAACCGATTCCCCCTAAAGGAAAATGCAATATTGGTTTAATAAGTTCGTTAAGTTGCTAGTATCCAATACAAGGTGTAGGATCTAATGATTACCTCGAAATGTACATTTATGTAGATTCTACGCATAAAGAATTCCGGAACGTTTGGCAAGTAGATTGATCAAGGGGAAAGATAAGAGATTTGAATTGACTGTGAGGCCAGGTGAGTGCATTACTTAGTTTATGGTGCTAAATGGAAACAAGACTTGCGACAAGTCTATTTCCTCTGTTAGAATGCATGATATATGATTATGCTATATGAATGACATGAATTGTATGTATGCATGATTATATGTGTTAACATGCTTTTGAATGTAATGTTATGAGAAGTATGTGCTATGTAATGTATATATATGAACATATGTGAAACTGAACTATGTGACTGCATGAGAAAGATATGAGCCATATGACATGATATATGTGAACATGAGAAAACAAAGTATAAGATATGAACTATGTGATCCTATGAGAATGTGAAAGAAGCTATGAGCTTATATGGCATGTGATATGAAAGTGTATTGTGAAATGATATGAAATATATGTGAAAACAAGTATATGTTATGAGATCAATGATTACACGTACATGTGATACGTGACTGAAAAGAAAGGATAAGTGGTTATAAGAGAAAGAATATGAATAAGTAATGTGAACTGTTATAAATGATAATGCCCATGTTATGTGATATGAGAGCTAGGGGTATAGTTGGCATGCCAAGGGTCGAGGGTTTACCTATGTCCTTCGGGACATATGGACTGATTACCTAGGTTCTTCGGAATCTATGGACTGGTCCTTCGGGACATTGATCGAGCTGTGGTGACAGCATATGTGTGCACAACCTCAATGTACTCACATACCTTAAGTTCTCACTAGTGTACATGGGCTAATAAAGTGATTAAACAAGCATACTGAATGTGATATGTATACGATGGGGTTATAAGTGGTTTGAAATGTGTTACGTGAACCATATGATGTTGTGTGTGTATAGTGTTTGATTGAAAAGGTAACAATAAAGTATGTGATTACATGATAAAATGTTAATGATGAATTATGTGTCTGTATGTATTTATTGTAATTAATCTGATATGATGATTAAACAAGCATACTGAATGTGATATGTATACGATGGGGTTATAAGTGGTTTGAAATGTGTTACGTGAACCATATGATGTTGTGTGTGTATAGTGTTTGATTGAAAAGGTTAACAATAAAAGTATGTGATTACATGATAAACTGTTAATGATGAATTATGTGTCTGTATGTATTTATTGTAATTAATCTGATATGATTTTATATGATACGAAGAATGCATGGAATTGGTATAACATGATAGAACAGAACATGCATGTATTGATATATGTTATGAAGTGCATTGTAAGTTGTTATGCCTCACTAAGTCTTCGATTGTTTCACGCGTAGGTTTCGAGAAGAGTAAAGAGTAATGCGGAGCAGACAGGTCAGTTTTCCTTACCAAATGTCAGATCAGAAAATGTATGTACTGTTTACAGAGTGTAGTTGGCATGTAGTCTAAAGATATAAATGGTATGAACTCTGATATCTGTTGTAAACGCTTTGAAATAAATTAAATGTTATCAAAGTTTTTAAATTACCCACTATTTTATACGAATACATGTTTAAAAAGTCAATGTGACACTTCGGACTCGTATCCGGGTCGGATACGAGTTGGGGGTGTTACACCCCTCATAATACCGGAAATTCTTTTTTAGACGTTATGGCATATTGGTTAGATCAAGATAATTGGCAAATGATGAAAAGAACAATCGCATTTGAATTATTCGGTGAGCCGCATACCGGTGCTAATTTATTTACATTTTTAAAAAGAGTATTTTGTCTTCATAAATTAGAAAATAAAGTTTTTTTATATCCTTTAATAATGCATCGAATAATACAAACGCGGTTCCAAGATTGAAAATATTACTTTCACCAATTTTAGACGGTGCGTTTTTTCATACCCGTTGCGTTGCACACATAATTAATTTATCCGTGCAAACCGATTTTGAGGTTATTGAGCCGATTAGATTAGAATTTAAAACCATGATAAAATCGGTTCTTTGTAACAACAACAAAAGACTAAATAATTATAAACGATTTTGTAAGTCAGTTAATAAAAAAGCTTTGGGTCCTAATTTGGATTGTCCAACTCGTTGGAACTCAACTTGGATGATGATGTATACCGCCTTAAGGCAAAGGGAAACATTGCAAACATTTCACGATCGGCTTTTCGCGAGGGGTCATGTCCCAAACATTTATCCGGATTCGAGTTGGGAAACTATAGCCAAAATAACCGATTTGCTTGGTTCTTAATTAAATATTTTTGTTGGCTACCCGACAAAATGACTTTGAATTTGAAACCGAAGTTTTTCAAGAAATTGGTTTTGCAATGAAGGAAAAACTTTTAAAATATTTTAATGAGATTCCCCCCATTTTTACTTGTGCCACCGCTTAAACCTAACGTTAAATGTTGGTGGGATTGAAACATAATTGAAACAATTGCGTTTGCTTTTAATCTAACCGATGATGAACCCAACTTTGTCCAAAACCAAATAAATTTTTAACAAATGTTTTCGAGACATGTTTGCAATTTATTTAACTAAATACGGATCAAGTAGTGTAATACACGATCAAATGAGAACGAATGCGGAATCATCTAGTAGACGTCCA